TGCAGAAGATGATGTGTTGGACATATTAAGTGATAAACATTCCATAATAGTTTATATGTCCAATAGAAGAAGAAGACTTGAGAATGTATCGTCTAACTTGCAGGGTTTCAATTGAAATATGTCTAAATGTTCAATTTCACGTCTCCTTCACCTCTATAGTTCTTTTGGTGTTGGAACACTGATGCAACTCTATTAAGAATTGAGGGCCAAGCGTGTAATGCATAAGTATGATTTTTCGCGCTAACAGTGTAATCATATTTTCTTCAATTCTATTGCAAAAAACACTCGATTAGCGCTAAAATAATTTTTCAACAGAATGTTGATGATGTTGAACTGTAAATAAATATGTTGGGGATGCCCCATCTGCCTTGTCATTAAAAAAATATTATGGAAATAAGAGCAAAAACTTTATTATTCAATTGATTTAAAGTAATTATAAGATAAGAATAAAAAAGATAATCGAATAATTATCAACAGTTCTAACTTCTGCACCTCGAAATGAGAATCCAAACGTTTAGTTCGTTGCCACATATCAAATGTAATGCAATACCAAAACCACCAGATTATATGTGTGTTTTGGTGAAAAAATTATTTTAAGTGAAATAAATATTTTTTTATATGAATCTATTAATTAACTGGAGTGGATTCTATTAACATGAATCACTTATTTGTCTCCTATTTGTACTTTTGTTGGGTTTTTTGTGACTAGTAGTCATATCTCTAGTGTGCAGCAAAGATTATCATTTAAATGAATTGTGTGTTTTAGTGATAAAGACAAAATTGTGAAAAACTTAAAATCTTCATTATCGTATTGAAAATCCCAATTGGATTGGTTGTCTCTCAATACAAAATAAAAAATTATTATTTATTCATATATGTACTATAATTTTACTTTGCTTGTCAAGTGTGGATTATTTTTTCTTAATTTCACTGAAACCACTTATATCTCTCAAATTGTGGTTTTTTTAAGTGCAAACAACTCTCTCTCATTGAGGACAACATTTAGATTGTAATAGTTTCAAATGGTATTATAATGGAAAATAGTTTTTATGAGAGCATTTATTTCTCTCTTGTCAAAGCCCTTTTTTTTTATTAACAAAAGTGAATATAATGGCCAAACTTGGCATAGGCATTCTTTTATTTTTATTTTTTAATAAAAAAACAGTATTTCTATTTTCAACTGGAAATGGAACGCTACATATATTTTGTCCCATAAAATTTGCAAATAACACTTTTTAATTTATACAAAAAAGAATTAATTTTAATGATACATATTTATCTCCTTCAATTTAACACCAAAAGAACAAAAAAACTCCAGTTTTACTGCTAAAAAGAATTTCAAGTTAAATTCAATATGATGAGTAACATGAATATTTATTGTAGGTAAAATTACCAATTAAGTAAAATAATAAATATAAAAATAAAAATATCTATGATATCAACAATTATCCGTTTAAATTATTTTTTAAATTGAATGATAAACCACTATATATTTTAATAATTATTATTAATGTTTTTAAATAATTTTTTTTCTATTAAAATCCTTTTAAATAATTTTTATTTGTTGAAAATCTTTAAAATTAATGAAAACTGACTTTTTTGTTCTATTCAT